TATATATATATATACTAGCAGTTTGTGAGTGAACATGTAAATTTTTTTTTGATAAAATAATGGATATAATGACTCCTGTGTGAATTTTGAGGAGAACTGACTTGATACATCCACTAACAATCATCAAAACAGCAGCTGATTGAAAACAATTGAGCAACACTGATGAAGAAGATTCTGCTTAATTTTTTGCAATTTGATATTTTCATGCAATTTGATATTTTCTTATCAAATGCAATGGCATCCAGACATTTGGTACCATTTAAGTTTATTTTTCTTGACAAAACTTTAAAGCCTGAAGTGATTTTGGTGCCTTTTGGTTAACTTTTGGATTGCATATGTTTTTTCTTATTAAAACATGATTTTAACAATCTTTTATGTCAAATTGCATGTGATTGACACTGGTGAGTGGTGAACTCTTGTTGGATAGTAAACTATTTACTTGGAACTGAATGCAGCAGAATTAGAATAAATTGAGTCTTATGATCACATTGGCCCACAATTTGAACTTGGCCACCAATCCATAACAGAATATCATTCATACGTTCTCAACCATTAGTTGAGTCATTAGTTTGTGTTTGTATGTCTTTAAAAATGGTTTTGCATGAGATAACATTGATGTCCATTCCATCTAATCCTGATGTCTTTTGTGAGAGAGAGAGAGAAAGAGAGAAAGGATGGACAGTTATACTGAAATGTGGAGGTTAAACTTATGTTAACAGTTTCTTATGATTTGTTGCTGCGTTTATTGACTAGTGACCCTGTGGTTTCTGATTTAATGTAGTCCAGTTATGAATGTAACAAGTTTGGTGATGCATAACTAATGTAAAGATTGTGTGATATTGTTCACAATGTAGTTTGGGTGTTAATTGTGAAGTCATGTTATTTATCCAGGTAAACAACTATTGAGATATGGATTGATTAGTATCAGAGAGGGTTAATAATTTTCTTTGGGGTCTTTTCATAATGTTCTTTGTGTGTTTAATCCGCCTGTATAATTTCTCCTGGTTTGAGGTTGAATCTAATCTTTGTTTCTCTGCAAACTTTAATCTGCTCCATACGGCAGTCCTCTCGGCTTTTGCTGGGTTAGAAACCCAGTAGCTGGGTGATACTGGAAAATCGTCCCTGTTAAGCATGTTAAACGAGCTGGGCTCATCTGCTTTCTGCTCAGAGACCCTCAGAGTGAGGACTGACGCCCGGCATCCAGAAATACCCTTCACAACACTGTGAGGATGCACGAGGCTTAGCAGTTTGATAGAGTATTAACAGTTTGATTATGAGATGCTGTCTACGTTTTATGGTGGATTTTATGACTTAAAAGGTTTTACATTTTATTTAAACAGACTAGTTTTAGAAACTAGAAAATAATCTCATGAAATATGTCCAGGTCGCATTTCACCTCAAAACCATAACACTCAAAATCAAATTCTCATTATTTTCAATATTAATTCTCATTAGGTTATCTTTTTGTAATGCAGTAATTGCTGTTAAACAGCATTAATTTTGTATTGTAAATAATTCTTTATTTTGTTGATTTAAAACTGTTTTATATTTTAATTGTTTTAGTTGTCTGCTAAATGTCTAAATGTAAATGTAAATGTAATTGTTTTATATTAAAATATGTTATTTTATTTTATTTATATACATTCAAAAATATTTTATTTTTAAATTGTTTTATAATAATAATTTATAATTTATATATGCACATATTATACATACATAATATTATATACATTAATAAAAATATAATACATTTGTGTATATAGTACATTTATTTGCATTCATTTAATAACTATTTGGGGGTTAAATGTTTTTTTTTATATATATATATATATATGATAATAATAATTATTAT